AGCTGATGAATGAGTTGCGACCTGGTGGCGCCGACGTCCGGGTGCTGGACGCTCGTGCGCTCTAACATCCGTCTGAGTTCTTCGACTTCGCGTTCCTTGTGAGCCACCTGGTGCACGGAAACGGACGCATTGTTTATGAAAAAGTAGGAATTAAAGGAAGGAAAAAGGTGTGGCATGTACGCGTACGTGGAATGTGAACGGGTGTATATTTTCTCTACAATGTCTTTCACGCGCCATTCCTTATTTTTACTAATTCACTTCCATTCACTCAACATTCGTTTACACTAAAGCTCACTACCTTAAGCATATAAATCCCATTCTATAAATACACATTCTATTCAACCCCCAAAGATACCCTTCAAAAAAAAATAATAATAATAAATAAAAAAGAGAACCGCGGTGAACATCACGAAGCGGACGTCCACCTGTTTGTTTACCTCCGTCTCGCTCGCCGCTGCCCTTTGCGTTGCCGCCACGAGACGTTTCTGAAGGAGTTGGTTCTTTCGGAGCAGGTCGTAGGTGCTGGGGTCGGAGGCCTGAGGAGAGGGAAGGCATTGTTAAGATGTATCATTTTTTGGTTTTCGTTTTTTTTTTTAATTATTTGTTCTGCATAGGTAGCGTTAACTCCTTTTATGGTTGCTGCTGTGTTGTGTTTATATATGTGTTTGATTAGATATTCGGATAACTGGATAGGGAGGTCTTATAATAAAAAAAAAATGCATAGACCTTTTGACTTTCAATTCGTTGATAAAATTAAGAGTACAAAACAAAATGAAAGTGTATACATATACATACACACATACACACATAATTCAAACAGAGGGAAAACAAATGACATCTAGCACGCCACTAAATTCAATCACACCTAATGAAATAACCACAAAAATAAAGGAGCAGAAAGTAGAAAAAATAACAGAAAAAATAAGATATATGAAAATAATAAAATAAACAAAATTATTAAAATATATGCAAATAATAGAATAGACAAAAATAAAATAAATAACAATAACAAATAAAAATAATTCAGTATATATAAAAAAAAACAAATCAGATGAAAATAATCTTTTAAATAAAAGTAATGAAAGAAACCAAAAACAATAAAATAAGAAATAAAAACGATATAAAAAAAATTAATCTAAAAACCTTGTACCTTGAGCGTCGTCCAGCGATGCGCCTTTTCCCGCCGAACCACCTCTTCCTCCATCACCGCTCTCTTGTTCTGCGACGTGATCAGTTCCCTCTGGAGGCGCACCAGCTCCACCTTCAGGGACTCCACGAGCTTGACGTGGCGGGACAACACCTCTCTCTCGTCCCTGTTGGTAGCGAGTATTGCTCTCAGCTTTTGAAATATATTTTTTTACAGTTTTAGTATAGTTTACCCGTTAGATGGTCCGTTTTCTTTTATTTGAGGGATGATTAATGATACTCTCATTGTGTGTCGGTTTTATGTACCTTAATTGTCTGTCTGTTTTTTATGTGTGGTTATCTGTCTCTTTTGTATGACTTCGTTTTTATCTGTTTTTTTTCTCCTCTCTCTCTCTCTCTCTCTCTCTCTCTCTCTCTCTCTCTCTCTCTCTCTCTCTCTCTCTCTCTCTCTCTCTCTCTCTCTCTCTTGTCTCTCTCTCTCTCTCTCTCTCTCTCTCTCTCTCTCTCTCTCTCTCTCTCTCTCTCTCTCTCTCTCTCTCTCTCTCTCTCTCTCTCTCTCTCTCTCCCTATCTATCTCTCTCTCTCTCTCTCTCTCTTCTTCTCCCTTTCTCTCTCTCTCCTTCTCCCTCCCCCTCTCTCTCTCCTCCCTCCCTCTCTCTTCTTCCTCTCCCCTTCCTCTCCCTCTCAACCTTTCTCCCTCCCTCTCTCTTCTTCTCCCTCTCCCCTCCCCCTCCCTCTCACCTCCACCCCACCCCCTCTCACTCTCTCTCCTTCCCACAATTATTTAAAAAAAAGTAGGATGTCGACCTCATCTGACCTGAGTGCCGTGACCTCGATGGTGAGTGTGTTGACGTCCTTCAGTCTATTCGCGTAATCCTTGTCCCCCTTGTGTAGGATGTGCTCGAGCAAGTGAACACGTTCCCGCAGTCCCCTCACCTCGTCGTTACGTCGGGCCAGTTGCGTCTCCACAACGCCGCGTCGCTCTCGTTCCTGCGGGTTATGGGGAATTAGTATTATTGTTGTTGACACGAACACAGTAACGTGTACACAAAAATCTCTCTCTTTCCCTGTTATTATTAGAGAGGGAGAGAGATTTCAATTGATTTGACAAGTTGACAAAAGCTTACATCTCAAAATATATCTAGTTAACACACACTGTCAACAGTACTCTGTTGTTCACGCTTTCCCGAGTCAGGTCTTGAGCCAGGTCAAACGCAATTACTCATGTCAACAAGTGACATGACTCTTTACTTGTTATCACTACTTTGGAAGTGAAAGAAACAAGGAAAGGTATTTACAAGTTATTTTTTCAGCAATTGTAGCATCTTGGTTAGGCTAATGCAATAAATCTGCC